ATTTTTTAAATCATGGTGCCCTCCCTCCACCCCCTAAGGTAAGAAAGTTGGGGCGAAACTACTACAATTGATGAAATCTTTAAAAATCTTCTTTACACATTGACATCAAGCCGTATACCTGTTGACATAATTATCAGAAGCATTGACTCCTCTACCAAAATTGTGAAGTTTATTGTCCCAGGGTCAGGGGCTCTGGGGTTAGGACAGGGCTATAAAATTTATATCGTGAAATGCATTTATTCTTTGAAAATTTTCCCTCTGTCCCTGGATATTAAAAAAACTAACTACATGCATAGATATGATGAGGAATGGATATTCTCTCCAAAGTTTTGAAATTCATGACCCAAAGGTAAGGGGTTTTGGTGTAACGGTGGGGCTATATAAATTGTAAAGTTAAAATTCATTCATTCTTTTAAAACATATTTCTCTCCGCTGCTGGATATTAATTAAACTAACTACATATAGTTATGATAAACAAGGGAGCCTCTTCCAGAATTATAAATTTCAAGGCCCCTGGCTTATGGGTACCATTGAGGGGTGGGGGCTCTGATTAAATACTGTTGAATTAATGCTTTGAAATTTGTTCTTTGGTATAAACCAATTTTTTTTTTTTATTAAAAAGGGTGCCTTTTCCAAAATTGTGAAATGCATGACCCCAGGATGAGGTTTTTTGTGGTCATTGGGCACAACTTATTATTGCTAATTATTATTGATTATTTGAAATGCACTTTTTTGTTCCCCTAAGCTCTATATACTCCAGTAAGTATTAAGTAGCCAAACTAAGCATGCTAAGTATATAGTTATGGAGAGCAATGGTGCTTTTTTCAAAATTGCGAAAACCATGGCCTCTGGTTCAAAGCTCGAAATTAAATTCAATTGTTTTAAAGTTTTCACATGATGTTCAGATGACCTATAAGACACATAGGCATCTTGTCGTGTTCTTATAAGAGAACCTCTAGTATCCCGTTAATATGCATTTTATCTGTATCATCTAGTCCACCCTTATTTTTTCCCCAGATGTCTCTTGGTTAAGACGGGTCTAGATGCCGTATCTCTGCATACATATAAATTTTATTTATGTCTGGTTTCCATAAAAATGTACAACAATGGGGACATAAATTGTCTCCCTATTTATGTGCAATATAAGGTGACATCTTGGTTCCCCTTGTGTTGTAAAATATTAAGTGAACTTAGGTCCCCATAATGATCTACAACATAGGGTGACCTCTGCCCCCTATTGATGTATAAGGTGACCTCTGTTTCCCCTTATGCTGTACAATATAATCTGACTTCTGGTCTTGTTCAGAACAAGGTGACCTCTGGTCCCCCTACTGTAGTACAATATAAGGTGACCCCTGCTCTCCATATTGATGTAAACTATAAGGTGTCCTTTGGTCCCCCTACTGATGTACAATATAAGGGGACCCATGTCCTTCCTACTGATGTCCCCTACTGATGTATAATATAAGGTGTCCTCTGGTCCCCCTACTGATGTTCAATATAAGGTGACCCCAAGTCTCCCTACTGATGTACAATATAAGTTGACCACTGGCACTACTGGACGAAAAAAGTGCTGAGAATCCCAAATTTTACTGATAATGTTTGATAATTACTGATACGGTGCTGTTCTTTCTGATAATTACTGATATTTACTGTTATTATTACTGTTGTTGCTGATAATTTTAGTTGATGCTGATAAATACTGATAATTACTGTCGTCTTTTACTGTGGAGTCTGATAAATACTGATAAATACTGTTGAGGTACTGTCGCTGCTGAGTACTGCTGATAATTACTGTGGTCATTGTTTTTAACCTGGGAATGGATTAAAATAGCCTGAGAAATGATTATTTGTTGGGTTCTTAAAAAGTATTTTAACAAATTCAATACAGTCAATTACAAAATAAATTATTCTCAATAAAAAAAAGTCATATTTTCTTAATTTGTATTCAGTTTTCATCTACTAGTATTAATTTCATTAATAATTATTTTTAGACCATAATGTTAATATAAGCTTTCATAAATGTTTATGTTTTTTCTTTAAATTTCTCCTTACACGTAGATGACATTATCTGAGGAAAATTATTCTGTTGTATTTGCAGTGGTTCTTCTGCCCAAGTACTTTTTAAAAAAGTTTAATTTTTGTTCATAAAGGTTAAAAAAAATCTCTCCTCATATTTTTTCTCACATGTTTGTGTACTGTCATCAAAAGCTTTTTGTGGGTATCTTTAGTACTTCAATACAGTCAATGGTTGTAAATATCAATTTTTTTTACCGTGTGGAGGACTGAAAATGCATGAGCACATTAAGTTTACCCCCCCCCCTTAACAATTACTTTTAAATTAAGCTCTCATTTTAACAAGACGGTATAAAATATTTTTCATAAAATCTAGTCTTGAAGCGTACACTTTGTTATTTTATGGAAGCATGTGACAGGGTTGAATAACTGAATTGAAGCTTCTTTAATTATTTTTTTTATATATATTATGCAGACAGCGCGCTCTAGTTCTCCGATGTCCTCCCTGCTAATTTTATATTGTGTCGCTTTGTAGCTTTCTCTCTCTCTCTCTCTCTTTTAAATTATTTGTTAAGGCTTAAGTATTGTACACTCCATGACATAAATCTTATGCAGTGTGATTTTCAGTCAATGAAATATACGTCTTTCTTTAGGCTAACTCTTTTTTCATTGTATACAGTTTTAAGTCTATGGGCATATGGCTTCTGATATTATGCGCCACTCCTTAAACATGTTATATCCGGTCAGTCAGTTAAAAAACTACATAAAATAAATTATGACCTGAATTAAATTTTCCATTAATGCAAACTTTATGCTTGTTGTTATTGAACATACATGTATGTCAACCACGTGCAAAAGTTCTACTTTCGTTTTAGAATCGGGTCAATTATTAGTACATTCTGCCATAGGGATATCGTTACGGTTTGCGTTTTTGTAAAATTAGAATTTTGTGCAGTGATTATATTTTTTTTTTAAATTCCATTTTTGTATTTTTGTCCGAGACATTTGTATAAACGAACAGCACAGACTTGGTGCTTATGTATATGATTTTACTTGATTGTAGCACAAAAAGGAGGGGGCGAAATATACTGTTTACAATTAAGTGATAGTCGATAGGGCAATGTCTGTTCTTTAGTTGTGTGTTTTAAAACTCATGCAAGTTATGATATTATACTTATCGAATTTTTTATATGCATGAATAAAATTATTTTAGAGAAACAATTGCAATGAACCATACATGCAAATATCAGAACTGAAGTAATTATAACATTTATTCATGAGTGCGATATACAACGTCATGTTTCTGACATTCAAAATCAATACATTTAAGGTTTTTTTTTTCCTCGGATTAAGCGAAGTGGAGTTTCTCTGCATCTGAATTGCCAATTTGGGAACAATTCATGCTAATATTATTTCAAAAAAGTGCTTCACTAAACAATCTTTCTCTGTATATCTATATGATTGTATATTTTGCACACTTTTTTTTAATTAAAAAGTGAAGTAAATTTCTCGTCTACGTATTTACCGGTCCCGAACAATCGTTAGCAGAGATTCAGAATTGAAAATACATGTGACCACCTCCCCCGGGATATTCTTTTATCTGATAAACAAAATATGCTCCCCGGCCTAAATTCCCTTACTTCGCATTTATAGCAACATACATTTTTTTTTGTTTAGTTTCTTATTCACGCATGCCTTCTAGACCTACTGTTATGTAAAAATTACCTATTTTTTATGTTTTGGGGGTCCTTGTATACTTAAGTAATATGGTAAGAAGATTCAAATAAATGATTGATTGATAGAAGAAATATGCGTAAAACTAAATAATGAAATTAAATACTGAGGAAGATAGATCTTTGAGAATTGAAATATTAATGAAAGTAAGTCTGTACAACGTACATGATGTATGTATCCTTTTTTTTCATTATAGTACCAAAGTTTTATATTCTAAATATTTTTTCTATGAATTTTATTCGTCATGGAAAATTTTTTTCGTGCGACCATACACTTTAAGATTGTTCCAAAGTAGCGAGTACATGTACAGTGTAGGTAGTTTGTTTATTGAAAACACCGGTAGCCGCAGACGAAGAACAATAGGTAATTAGTGCCCATTGTTACGCTGACCACTACAATTTGCGTGGAATATACAAGTTGTACCCAGTTCTACCCCGGGGCTGAAGACATGTACACAATACAGCCAAATCACAGGTCGATCACTGATTTCTGATCAATTGAAATCAATTTAAAGGTGTTTTCCTATCAACTTTTTACCATGCAAAATTAAAATCGATCAATTTGATCATACACATGTATACTAATCATGCTAATAGTAAAATATTAATTTAAGTCTCATTTCAGTTCTTATTTCCCATTCCATATAATCAAATAAAAAAAATTAATGAGATTTCAAAACTGATTAAATAAAAAATGATTTTGTTTTTAAATTTTAAGAGACAAACTAAACACATGTACCTTTGTACTAGGGATTCTTAACCTCTAATTTTTAATCAGCTCGCCCCATGTGCCGTTGCACATGCATACAGTGTGTACTTGTACATATGTACATGTGGAGGAGTTTAATTCTTGGACGATCTACAAACGTCTATGTAACAATATTAGAGTATGTCAATTGAATATGGCTAAATATAGATCCTATTCATTCTTATGTACATGAGCAGCCTTGGTAAAATTTAATGTATTTCATGTAGCACCTAAGCGGGCCCGTTCTACATTGCCGCCATTGTTGTAAACATGCCATGTGCTTACCTACTTGAATAAACACTATTACACTCCACATAAAGACTTATACGAGTATTGATACATGGTGTCAGAAGTAAAGTGAGTACCGAACTTCGTTTTAATTAACGTGATTGTGTGTTAATTCACAGTGAATAGTTTTGGGAGTGCAAACGTGCTGGGTCGAATTTCCTCGACAAGTATACGTCCATGTGACACGTGAGTGCAAATTATACGAGTTGCAGCGAATGAGTAGTGAACCCAGTGACTTTACTGAATATATCAGATATCTTTATGGAATGGAGGATCAAGTAGCAGCACCGGCATCGATTATGCAGAGCCACATACCGCTCCCGCCAAAGTTGGAGTTGGCGGGTAACGTTGCACAACACTGGAAATCCTGGAAACAGCTGTGGGACTCGTATGTCATAGTGACGGGACTTTCAGAGAAAACCAATGCCTACCAGGTTGCGACTTTTGTTACATGTATTGGCCCTGAAGGCCTCGAGGTCTACAACGGACTACCATTTAAAGACGAAAATGAAAAGAATGACCCAGCAACCATATTGAAACTCATGGAGGAGTACTGTGTAGGGAAAACAAACACGATATATGAGAGATATGTTTTCAACAACAAGCATCAAGAAACGGGAGAGACAATCGATTCCTACGTCACAAAGTTGAGAAAGCTCTCACTGACCTGTGAGTTCGGTCAGTTAGCCGACCAGATGATTCGTGACAGAATAGTGTGTGGAATCAAGGACAACGCTATAAGAAAAAAACTTTTGCAAGAATCTGGACTGTCACTTCAGAAATGTGTGGACATCTGTAGAGCAGCAGAGAAAACCGCCGCACAAGTTAAGACCATGAATCCTCAGGAGAAAATTCACACATTGAAAAAATCAACCAAACACAGAAACGGTGTGAAGCAGAAGGATCATAAAGGAAGAGGAACACACCATAAACCACAGAGTACAAGGACCCATACATGTTGTTACTGTGGTCAGCAGCACTCCAGAGATAAACAATCATGTCCAGCATGGGGCAAAACCTGTGGGAAGAAAACCCATTTTAAGGCAGTGTGCCGACAGCGAGATAAGAGAGTGAACGTCCTGGATAAGTATGAGCAATGTTATTCCGATGAGGAAATCCTTAAAGTAGAACAGATCTTCGCTACCAGCGCTTTGGAACATCCGAGAAAACTGTTTGCTCAAATGAACATTAATTCTCAGCCGAAACCTGTAAAATTCCAAATTGACTGTGGGGCCACCTGTAATGTTATTACAGATGACCTTGTACCAAAAAATGTGAAGATACAGAAGGGTCATCACACATTGAAAGTTTACAATGGACAGCAAATGAAGACTTCTGGCAGTTGTAATTTGACCCTCACTAATCCAAGAAACGGGGAAACATTCAAAGAGAACTTTGTTGTGGTGAACAGTGGTTTACACCCTATTTTGGGCTCAAGCACAAGTCAGCGAATGAACTTGATATCAGTCCAACATGACAATATTATGACTATAGAGTTCCCCAGCACAAACAATCACCTTGATATGGACACCATAACGAAGAATTATGGAGACATCTTTACAGGAAATGGATGCTTTAAGGGACCTGTGCATCTAGAAATAGACGAGACTGTCCCACCTGTGAAACTTCCTTTACGCCGTGTCCCAGTTGCAATCAAGCCACTTTTGCAACAAGAACTGAAAAGACTAGAAGGATTACAAGTCATTCAAGCTGTCAATAAGCCTACAGACTGGGTATCTAGCCTACTAGCATTCAAGAAGGCAAATGGAAAGTTACGCATCTGCATTGACCCGAAGCCTTTGAATAAGGCGCTCCGTCGAAGTCATTACCCTCTTCCTGTGATCGAAGACGTTTTACCTGATCTGTCCAAGGCTCGCGTTTTCACGGTGTGCGACGTAAAGAATGGCTTCTGGCATGTGGAGCTCGACGAGCAGTCCAGCTACCTTACCACCTTTGAAACTCCATTTGGACGCTATCGCTGGCGCCGCCTACCCTTTGGCATCTCCCCAGCGCCTGAGATTTTCCAGCATCGTTTGGAACTAGCCATACAAAACTTACCTGGAGTCAAAGCTGTTGCTGATGATATCCTTATCTATGGAGAAGGAGACAGTGATGCAGAAGCAGTACGCGATCACGACCAGAAACTGATCAGCCTTTTGAACCGTTGCCGCGAGCAGGGAATCAAGTTGAACAAAGACAAGTTTAAACTGCGATTAAAGGAAATGCCATATATTGGACATGTTCTGACCCCCAGTGGACTCAAGCCTGACCCTCGCAAAGTACAGGCTATTATCAGGTTATGGGAAAACTTCATCAATCACATATTGGAGTTGAAGGATGCCTTCGTAGGGCTCGAGAGTGTGTATACTGGCCGAACATGAACTCCGAGATCATAGATCTTGTATCAAAGTGTGAAACGTGCCGAACTTATGAGCCATCACAGCAAAAAGAAACTCTCATCTCGCATGAGATTCCAAACCGCCCGTGGTCTGTTGTAGGAGTAGATCTCTTCCAATCACCTGTTAGTGAAGACCAATACCTCATCTCAGTAGACTACTACAGCAATTTCTTCGAAATTGACAGGCTGGAGTCTACCACCTCAGCTACTGTCATCAGCAAGTTAAAACAGCATTTTGCTAGACACGGAATTCCAGACAAAGTGATTAGTCATAATGGTCCCCAATTTACCTCCCAGCAATTTGAAAACTTCAAAGTCAAGTGGGAATTCGACCATAAAACATCCAGTCCGGCATATCCTAAGTCGAATGGAAAAGCGGAAAATGCCGTAAAATCCGCAAAGCAGCTTATGAGAAAAGCAAAGCACAGTGGACAAGACCCGTGGCTTGCGGTACTTGACTTCAGAAATACGCCAACACAAGGAATTGGAGAAAGTCCAAGCCAGCTTTTAATGAACCGTAGAACAAAAACATTGATGCCGCAGAAGGAAACATTGCTATCACCATGTGGTAAAAAAGATAACATCAAGAAAATGAGGAAGGAAAAGGACAGACAAGCTAGCTATTACAACCGCACAGCAAAAGATTTGCAAGAGTTACATCATGGTGACACAGTGCGCATGAAGCCAACACAACTGAGGGAAAAGGAGTGGAAGAAAGGAACAATCGTCGGCAAAGAGGGAATCAGATCGTACAATGTAAAAACACAAGACGGTACCTATAGGAGAAACCCCTCTCATCTGAAGGCCACGTGCGAGAAACCAAACGACTTTAGCGTTATTCCTGACTACGCAACTCCGAACGAACAGTCAGGTGATAATTCGAGAAAGACTGCGCCGAGTGGGAACTGCCCGAGACCTAGTTCCGAAACCAGTGAAAGTGATCGATCCCTACCGGACAAACCGTTAGTCGTTCAGAGCCGAGATGTGCCACCGAAGCCCGATGAACCGCGAACCACTCGTTCTGGACGCACTGTGAAGACGCCACAATATTTAGAGAACTATGTGCATGATGTGTATTATGTGTAATGAACTGTTTCAGTATTATTTTCATAGACTAGTCAGTTTGTAATATTGTTGTGTTCGAGATTGCATATACTTTGATCTCATTCTTGTTTAAGTGTTTAGGTCCCTGATAGGATTTTTGTTTCTTCAAAAAAAAAAAAAGGGAGATGTAACAATATTAGAGTATGTCAATTGAATATGGCTAAATATAGATCCTATTCATTCTTATGTACATGAGCGGCCTTGGTAAAATTTAATGTATTTCATGTAGCACCTAAGCGGGCCCGTTCTACATTGCCGCCATTGTTGTAAACATGCCATGTGCTTACCTACTTGAATAAACACTATTACACTCCACATAAAGACTTATACGAGTATTGATACAGTCTATATAACATTAAAATAAATGAATAAATAAATCAATTATTAATTAAAATCAGTGCCCACAGATTGAACATATTCAAACCTGTTTTCACCTCTTAGTTACTTTTTAAAAGGGATAAAATTTCTAATTTTCAAGCAAATTTTCAAATATTTCGACGAAAAGAGACCAGGAAACTGAACATTTAACAAGATAAATATAATTGTTTTAGAGAAAAAAAGGCCGTCAAAAACAAAATGTTGTCCAAATTCGACCAGTTGACCTAGTGAAAACGGAACAAATCCAACTTTTCTAACCTGCAGGAAACTTTTTATCCCGATTTTTTTCCCATCCATTAAGAACTTTTTTTCTTATTATTGAAAAAAAAGATCACCGATCTCCCTATATAATTGTTGTGGGTTAGGTTGTGAAACACAATAATCCTATCGGCCACAAACTTAAAAAAAACATATTTTTAGCATATAGGTTACAGTAAAGGTCACAAGGTCATTGATGTTGTCATTTAAAAGAACTTGATTAGTGAAGTATGCATACCAAATATAAAAGTTTCTATCTCTCATGGTTCCAAACAAGCTACATTTAGCATATAGGACACAGTCAAGGTGACAAGATCATTGTCCTTGGTGTCATGTGAAAGGGCTTCATTAGTGAAGTATAAAAAAGAGCCAAAAATCAAGTCTCTATCTTTCTTCGTTCAAAAGTTATGGCAAAGATTTAAAAGTTTGCCGACAAAAAGGTATATTTTGCGTATACATTGTAGGTCACAGTCAAGGTCAAGGTAATTCTACATGTTGTCATTCAAAAAAGCTTAATCAGTGGTGTATGCATGCCAAACATAAAGTCTCATCCATTCATGGTTCATAATTTATGGCGAAGGTTAAAGTTTGCAGACAGACAAACAGATAAACAGACAGACAGACATGACGAAAACAATATATGCATAGGATCGTTTTAGCGGGCGCATAAAAACTTTAATCTTGGCCATAACTTTTGAACACGAAGGGCTAGTAATATCACACTTCACTTATGTTATCCTTGTGAAAAGACCCTTCAGTGGATACCATGAAATTTGACCTTTGACATTGGAGTTTGAATACTTTTAAAAAGTGAACCTTGAACATTTCTTTTAAAGGGTTAGATCTAGTGCTTTCATACTTTACATATTTAATCCTTGTGACAAGACCTTTCATTTGATAGCAAGACCTTTGACTTTGGAGTTTGACCTACTTTTTAAAATTATTAACATTCCCAATAACTTCTGAACGGTTAGGACTAGGGTTTCCATACTTTACATATGTATTTTTTGTGGCAAGATCTTTCAGTGGATATCAGTGATCTTGACCTAGAGGATTTACCTACTTATGAAAAACTTTAACCTTGGCCTACTTTCATATTTCACAATTGTATTTTTAGTGAGACTATCCTACTTTTGGTACCAATATATTAAATTTGCATTTAAGAAAAGTTTAATCTTTGCATGTTGCCATACAAGTAAATGTTTCTTTAAAATTAGGTCAAACTCCAAGGTCAGGGTCCAAGGGTCAAACATTCTTGTTATCAAATGAAAGGTCTTGTCACAAGGATTAAATACATGAAGTATGAAAGCACTCACCCTAACCCTTTAAACGTAATGTTTAAGGTTTGCTTTTTTTTAAAGTAGGTCGAACTTTAAGGTCAAGGTCAAAGGGTCAACATGCTGGTATTCAATGAAGGGACTTTTCATTAGGATTACATACATGAAGTATGAAAGCCCTATCTCTTACTGTTTAAGTTATGGCCAAGGTTAAAGTTTTTTCACAGGTACAAAAATCTACAAGGTCAAGGTTAAAAGGTCAAGTTTGTTGGTATCCAATAAAAGGTCTTGCAACAAATAATACATATGTGAAGTATAAATTTCCTGGTATCTACTGTTCGAAAGGTATGGCCAAAATGAAAGTTGAAAATTTTCATGTAAAAGTGGGACAAACTCCAAGTTCAAGGTCAAAAGGTTAAATTTGGTTGTACCCAAAGAAAAGTCTTATCAGAAGGATTACACATGTGAAATATGAAAGTAAAGGCTCCACTAAATCAAAAGTTATGGGCAAGGTTAAAGTTTTTGCGGAAAAAACAGACAAACAGAGAGACAGACAGACAGAGAAACAGACAGACAGTCGGACGGACAGGACAAAAACTATATACCCCCGAAACTTCGTTTACGGGGGCATAAAAAAATCAATTAAAGACTTTTAGCCAGTAAAAACATTGTAATTCTATTTTGTTAATCTTTCAATGCATCTTTCCGACGCAGGGTTTATTGATGTTTAAATTACAGCTGTATTTAAATTTTCATTTAAAAAAAACGTTTTTTCCTCAGAGACGTTAATGCAATCTTTGTTAATTAGCAACTGTTTGATTAATGAAAATTTTGAAAATTTCTCGTGGGCAATCCTTTTCCACTATAAAATGCTTTGATAAAATATCAGAGTATTTTGTACTTGACGGATATTTAAGGGTACGCATCTAAGATAAGGCTGCCCGTAAAATATCAAACTATTCAAACTGTACTTACTTCTCTGAACTACCTAGATATGACGTCATAATAGAATGTGACGTCAAGTTAATGATACTTGAGCTGAATTGACTGGGAAAGTGTCATAAATTTTACATGGCATGTAGATTTATTTTGGAGACCTGTTGTTTAATTCAAGTGTAACAACTTTTTTTTTTTAAGCTCGAGTGTGCTATTATGATGCTGGACATTTGAAATTTAAATATTCTATTCTTTTTGCTTGTCCGATATGCACACATTCAAACAATAGCAAAAAATAATGTGTGAAACGCTCCCCTGACATGTACGTAGACAGAGTTAGAATCTATGAATTGTTTTTATATTGGACTGGCACAAGTGATAAACAAGGATCAATTGAAGGTCTTGTAGGTGAATCTACAAGAAAAGTATGTCCTCTCTCTGAATTTTGCTGGGAAGTTGTGTGTACTTTATCCATTTTTGTATAAATTGCGATAAAGTGTGGAAATACCCCTTCTTATGTTGGTAAATTGAATTTCTCGTAAAATATTTTCTTAGCGAGTAAAATTTAAACCTGCCCCAGCACTTTCTATGTACCAGAGATCATGATGAATCAATATATGCTACAAACTTTGCACAATATATTTGTTTTGCACTTGTGCCACAGCGAATTTTGTGCAGCAATAAGGAATATCATAAATATCCGTCACGTGATCAAACAGTCATGTGACATCACAAAAATGCTTTAAGATAAAACCTGATTAAACTATTATCTCAAGGTGACTACAAATTCAAACAAGGATTACATTTTTAAAATTAAAATCTAGTTCAAAAATAAATGTATATTCTCAGGCATTTTAAGCCTTCGGACAGCCTTAACATAACTGCGTAGGGATTTTGGTCCCATAAGGGATGGAAATCCTTAAGTGAAAAAAAGTCCAGCCTTATGTATAAAATAAAAAGAGAATACGGGTAATCTTAAAGATACTGGAGCCTTTCCACCTTTCAAAGTGTTTATGTGATTTTGGTTGAA